GAGAGAGAGAGAGAGAGAATGTTTAAGAAAATATGCTTTTGCTATAAAAATAATACCGTAATTACATAAACATTTATTTATTTTTTCAAACACATATCTATCGGTTCCCGCAGTAAATATGTTGTTTATTAGTGACAGACATTCATTAGGGTTCATAAGTCGGCATACATTTAGGACTACATTCCATGGGACAGGTATTTTGTCCATTTGTTTTGGAACAGGGTATTAAAGTAGTTTAGTAGTATAATACATTTGAAAATATATTTAGGATAAGGAATTTGAATTACCATGAATAGTAGAAAAATAAAATGTTTTATTGATTAGCGTATATCTGTAAAAATAATTTTCCATTAAAAACAATCGGCAATTAATTATTATAATTACTATTATTCATATTTTTTGTATTAATTAATTGTTTCGTTTGAATTTTAATTAAGGCTTGACATTAATTGTCTCATGTTATACTTGCACAGATTTATATACAGCATACTGTATGTTACCTAAATAAGTTAAATTAACTAGATAAACTTAATATTTATCATATTTATAAACAAAATATGTTGCATTAGAATATTATTCATGAATGGGTTTATAAATGTATTGACTATTGTTTAATATATTAAATCATTTATCATTTGAATACTTTTACAAAACTTTTACAAAGTTTTATGTAAAATAAAATTCAAATAGAAAATCAAAACAAAATAATTTAGTATCATTATAAAACCACTATTCAATTCAAATATAATATACATTCTTTATATTATAATTATATAATATTAATATTAAAAAGTAATTTGAGTAAAAAACTGACTATCGATTGAATACAAACCTTGAATTATAACTATAATCATTACAATTATATGAAATAACATTTAGTTTTGATTTTAAAACCAAAACAATTAAAACATAATATTATTAAATCTATTGACTCATGAGATAACTATTTACTAATTAAATATTTTTGTACCAACCCTTATAAATGCCTTATACTGTACTTGATGATTAAGGTATGGCATATTTTTTGTGAAAACTAATAGGGTATGTAATTAATATACTTTCCGGACAATAATATACTACTTAATAATTATTGCAATAATAATTAATTATTATAAGATAATTATATCATGTTTAATTTTTTCATTCAAGGGAAAGTGTTTGAAAAGTTTGTTTAAATTTGCAATAATTTACTAAATGTTTATAATTGAGTGAAATTAATTAAAATTATTTCAACTAGTTTACATTAATAGATTAGAAATTTATTTGAAATACTTTAAATTTAATAATAAGCAGACCTAATATATAGCTGATTAGTGATATTTATCTCAATATTTATGCAAATTATTCATTAAAATTACTTAAAACATGACATCAAAAGGAAATGTTTTCATTTCATGTCTCCGACGACTGCATCGATTTTGATAACAAAATCAATTTCTTAGAAATCATATAAATATCATTGAAATTATTGATTACTAATATAAATATATTTTATATATTTCCAGATAAATAAGTTTGTCGCCCATAAATAAACCCCAAAAGCTACCGGTCCCGCAAACATGCCGTTCACCTGTTCCGATATCTGCAAAATCATTTTAGCCATAATTCTGCCACCTTTGGTATGTATACCCATTTTCATAATACCGTTCCCATACATATGATTAACACAAATGCCTATATTTGGCGCAATATTTCTATAATGGAAATATTATTTGTTTAATTTCATGCCTAATATTCACGTGAATTGTATGTGTATTACAGGGCGTATTGGCTGAAAAAGGTTGTGGTGTCGACCTTCTCATCAATATCGCACTGACTATATTGGGATTCATACCGGGGATCATACACGCCCTGTATATTATATTCAAATACTGATACCTATATATACACCACAAGAATCTATTACAAGACTTTTTGTCGTTTCGTTTCGTTCACCACTTTTTTGGCTAATTTTTTGTCTCAAATTATATAATGCTTTAAATATATTACTCCTTTTTCTCTCTATACCTA